GTGAAAGAGGAGAGTGCAAAAAACAGCCTGAAACTCAACATCAAAAAAACTAAGATCATGGCCACTGGTCCCATCACCTCCTGGGAAATAGAAGGGGAAGATATGGAGGCAGTGACAGATTTTACTTTCTTGGGCTCCATAATCACTGCAGATGGAGACAGCAGCCACAAAATTAAAAGACGCCTTCTTCTTGGGAGGAAAGCAATGACAAACCTTGACAGCATCTTAAAAAGCAGAGACATCACATTGCCAACAAAAGTCCGAATAGTCAAAGCTATGGTTTTTCCTGTTGTGATGTATGGAAGTGAGAGCTGGACCATAAAGAAAGCTGACCGCCGAAGAATTGATGCCTTTGAATTGTGGTGCTGGAGGAGGCTCTTGAGAATCCCCTGGACTGCAAGGAGAACAAACCTATCAATTCTAAAGGAAATCAACCCTGAGTGCTCACTGGAAGGACAGATCCTGAAGCTGAGGCTCCAATACTTTGGCCATCTCATGAGAAGAGAGGACTCCCTGGAAAAGACCTTAATGTTGGGAAAGTGTGAAGGCAAGAGGAGAAGGGGACAACAGAGGATGAGATGGTTGGACAGTGTCACCGAAGCAACCAACATGAATCTGACCCAACTCCGGGAGGCAGTGGAAGATAGGAGGGCCTGGCGTGCTGTGGTCCATGGGGTCACGAAGAGTCGGACACGACTAAATTGGACAGTGTCACCGAAGCAACCAACATGAATCTGACCCAACTCCGGGAGGCAGTGGAAGACGGGAGGGCCTGGCGTGTTCTGATCCATGGGGTCACGAAGAGTCGGACATGACTAAACGACTAAATGACGATAAGTACAACATTGTCTTTAAAGAATATATGCAATGGTGCAGGTGGCCAGACAGAGAGTCCTAAAAGGAGATGATGCATTAACAGTTACTTGAAGATTTAAATCCGATTGAGTTTAGGATACAACTCTTTAGAATTATTTAGAACAAGCTCATTGGTAAGGAACTTCTCAGTGGCTGCTTCCAGGGTTTGGAATGCACTGCCTCAAGAAGCTAGATTGGCTCCCTTCCCTCTTGTCCTGCCATCATCAGGCAAAGATCCTTCTTTTTGGACAGGCAGACAGAGAAGTGCCTAGGAAATACTCTATTTTTGAACATAGATACAGTATTTCAAAATTATTTTTAATATTGACCAATGTTTGTGTCTTAATATATAGTTTTATAATCTTATTATTGTATTCGCAAAGGCTTTCATGGCCAGGATCTAATGGTTGTTGTAGGTTTTTCGGGCTCTTTGGCCATGTTCTGAAGGTTGTTCTTCCTGACATTTCACCAGTCTCTGTGGCCGGCATCTTCAGAGGACAGTACTCCAAGTATCCCCCATCTTGTAACTGCGTACAGTGGTGCCTTGCTAGACAGTTACCCCGCATGACAGTTTTTTAGCTAGACATTGACTTTTTGCGATCACTATAGCGATTCACAAAACAGTGATTCCTATGGGGGTATTTCGCTGGACAATGTTTGGTCCCTGCTCCGCAAACCAATTTTCGCTAGACAACAATTTGGACAGCTCCCTCCGCGCTCGTAAAATGGTTTTTTTTGGGGACCTAAGCTTCGCACGACGGCTATTTAAACAGCTGATCGCAGTTCCCAAAGCGGCTTTCCTATGGCCGATCTTCACTAGACAATGACGATTCTTCCCCATTGGAACACATTAAACAGGTTTCAATGCATTCCAATAGGGAAATGCTTTTCGCTAGACAATGATTTCGCTAAACAGCGATTTCAATGGAATGGATTATCATCGTCTAGCGAGGCACCACTGTATTTGGTGTAGAACTTTGTACTTATTCCTGTTAAATTTCATTCTGTTTTCAGTCCAGTGCTGAGATCTTTTTGAATTTTGTTTGTCTTCCAGAGTATCTAGCTATTCTACCCAATTTCGTGTCAATCACAAATTTGATTTGTTGTAGGTCACCAGATCATAACATTTAATCACTTCCCAATGCAGGTGGCAATAGCCTCTCTTATCTCCTACATCTTGCTTAGAGGTAGCTTTGAAATTCTTGGAAAGCAAGATGAAGTGATGATTTGAGAACAAGATAGAAAGTGAGGCGTGAAAGCTACATTGTGCCAGCTTAGGCTTTCCCCCAGTGCAACATGACCCCATTTCCCACAATTGGGTTGCAAAATGTCAGTAACTGATTAGAGTTGTAAAAATAAAGGCTTACTCAGCAGGTTGTATAACATTGTGAGGGGCAATACAGCTCTCCAGATGTTGGCTTGCACTATTCATTGTTTTTGCTGACTAGGACTGTGGGGAGTTGCACTGCAGCAACATCTGGAACGCTGGGCATGGCCAATCCCCTATATTCCTTTCCTTTCTATATCTCAGAAAGAAATTCTGGACAATTTATCATTTGGGCAGGACTGAACTGAGATCCTGCAGAATTAAGTGCAGCAGTTAAGAAAGCGTTGTTCTAGGTCAGACATGCATATGTTTGTATAGTAGAGCCATGCAAGTACCCAGCACAGTTTCACTAATCTGAAGGCAGGTTTAATTATCAGAGGTGAAAAAGTTATGTGTGAGTTCAAAGTCACAGAGGTTATTGATTTTGTGGGCTTCTTGTT